CTCCCATTGCCCTACGGAGATGTCAGTGTCAACTGTAAGTATTTTACCCAAGTGGCAGAATCCACTCACATTTTGAGGGCCAGTGAGGAGCCTGAGCACCACAAAATGGGTCTGTAAGCTCTCTGTGTGCAGGTGAAGTGTTTTTGGGGCAGTTTGGCCCACAGGGTTCAGGGAGGGAGCAGTCTGCTTCTCTTCCTTTCTTCTCTGGACTGTGTTCCATTTTCACTGCCTCTTATCATGGGAACATTGAATCTTAGAGTAAATGGGGGCAGATAGTTTTATCATCCATCCAGGGGACACGCAGCCTGTCATCCTTTGGCCACAGCTGGTTGCGAGTGGCTCCAGTGGAAATACTACAACAGGATTACATCGTGCAGCTGGAAATGAGGTAGTATTTCTACAGAAGCTGCTGTAAAACCAGACTAAATGAACCCTTTTTTCAAAAGTGTCAGAAACATGAAAGAGCTAGAGTAATGGGCCACCAGAAACCAAAGTGATTTGTTGGTGATAACAGGCTGTTTGACATATTGAAACTGAAGGCTGGTAAAGAACTACAGAAGAATCTCTCATGTGGAATGACTGAGCTACAGAATCTTTTAAGAAATTAATTTCAATCAAAGCAAGGTGTTTGGGAAAAACAGTCTGCCACACAGGTAGTGATCTAGCTGTGCTTAGGAAAGTGAACATCAATTTGCATAGCTTTATGAAAATGTCAACTCTAGTGGTGAGTACAGAAACAAAACAGCTAATGTAAGGTTTTGAAAGCTTAGAAAAGGAAAAATAAAGTCTTTGTGCAGCTGTATATATATTGTGCACCTGCATCTTGAGTGCAGGATACAGCTTTGCCTTCTACATCTCCTCAGAGATATGGGAGATAGATCAAAGGTACTGAAGAACTTGCCTACAATTAAGTGACTAAATAGAGAGCAGGATTCTTCAGCCTCAAAATGAAGTTTTTGGGGCCAGAAGACTGTCATGGAGAAAGTGAAAGGATATTAGGTCTGTCACAATACAAGGATCCAATTACATGTCAGATTAAAAGCACAGAAAAAAAATTCTGAAATACAGGAGAAATACAGAGCAAACACTTACACCGTGGAACTTAATTTTAGAGCTGTGTCTTTGTATTGTGCAGTTAATACATGGCCACTGGGGAAGCAGTGGCTGTACAGGAGATTCAGAAGGGCCTAAAGCCCCAGAGATGTGCAAAGGAGAATGCAAGCCTGCATCTGAATGGTATCACACATGTCTGAGCAGTTCAAAAAGCAGACATTTAGGTGTTCAAAAAACTCAAGTTTTGGTTTGAGCATTTTAAATCTAAACAATAGGTATAAGATGCATTTGAGGTAGAGCAATTTGCTTAAGTTCTCTGTTGGTCTAGGGGTCAAAGCTAATACAGGCACAACACAGAATTTTGGAATTACACACGCCAGGCTTCAGTGGCCACATTCCAGTACCTTGATTGCAGACACTGAACCCTGAACTACCTGAAATGAACATTTCAATGTTCATTTCCCCTAAAAATATTACTCTGCTTTTCTGTGCAGTATATCCAGAAATGGACTGGGAGTGGTGACAAATCAGATGTTGGCAAATACAAATTAAAACTGCATTTGAACATTTGGAGAGGAAGCATTAATGACCTTTAAGTATAAATTTAAGTTCAGGGTATGCGCTAATGCTCAGGTTGCTGTTCTTCCATGACAGAGGAGTACAGTTGACTGTAGTACTGCTGGGCCAGTAGAAAATGAGGGAGATGCTCACCTCCTGTCATCTTTGTGGTTGTTCCCCAGTGCAACAAGAGAAGGGTTACAGCAGCTTACAGGATGAAGCAGTGAAGATCTTTAACTCCCTTCAGGAAATCGAGACAGTGTCGGACCCCATACCCATCATCCAAGGCATCCTGCAGACCTGCCATGATTTAAAGCCCCTCCGTGATGAAGTGTACTGTCAGCTCATCAAGCAAACCAACCACATGCCACATCCCAACAGTACTGGGAACCTGCACCACTGGCAGCTGATGACCTGTATGAGCTGCACTTTCCTGCCCAGCAGAGGGATCCTGCGCTACCTCAAGTTCCACCTCCGAAGGTGAACGTCTCTTTTGTCTCTTCTTGTCTCTTCTCTTTGCAGTTTGTTTCCTTTGACTCTGCTGATCTTCCACTGCCTGTTGTAGTTACCTGTCTCACCCTCTTGCTGGGCAAACATCTTCCTGTGGTGCTCCAGCCTCCTACCTTTGCCCAAATCTTACCACCAGCTTTTCTGTGCATTCATACTCCCCCCCTTGCCACCCATCTGTTGTGCAAGTTACCCAAACAGAATACCATGAGACACTGTTGTAGTGGATTTACAGCTGATGACCTGCTGCTAACTAATGTACATATAAACATTATCAAGCTGCAGGAAAGGTCAGGTCTGTACTTTCATTCTCATGGAAATCTGTCCTACCTTGCAGCTAGCACAGGCAAAAAGCATACTGTGTAGTAGAAGAGATACTGTAAATCCAATTTATAATTTTTCAGGGTTTCTTTAACTGAGCACATAATGCTTATAGTTAGTATTTTTAATCTGTTTTGACCTCCCATTTTCATAAAATAAATAATTTACATTTCTTCCCAAGTGATCTTCAGCATCTAATGCAGCTTTACAAGGCAGTCTACACTGGGTCCGATCTGCAGCTGTGTAACCTTGCTCCATTCCTAATCACGAGAAAGATCAATAAAATCTATTTGATTCCTTGCAAGCTAGGAAAGAGTGAGATGAGTTTTGTGTCAATACACCAAATAGCTACATCCATGGCCTGGGTCTAAGAGATGCAGATACTCCATGGAGCCATTTCATTCTTTTATCACTAGAGTTGCAAATAATGTTATACTTAGACCTGCTGGTCTTGGAGAGAACAGTGTACAGGCATCTGCTTTCTGTCTTCTTAATTCTCAAAAATACTGTAGAAGTGGCTCAAACACAGCCAGCAAATTAAAAAAAAAATCAAAAACATTAAGAATAAATAAAAAAGTTTACATTTGATTTCACAGTTTTTATTCTCAGTTTTGTAAATTGACAATGTCAATCCTGCTGTGTTCAGCTGTCACTAAACTCCTGAAACTTTGAACTGCTTATTTCATACATTGCTGAGAAATGCCACTGTAGTGTCTTTCAAATGACCACTGAAAGCAGATTGTATTGTTTAGGAAATAAGCTTGATTTTTGTGTGGTTGCATTCGACATCAGCATCTCTACCAAGCTCTTTACGTGCAGTAGTCTCCCAAGCTCTTTACTTGCAGTAGTCTCATTTCTAGAGTAATGTGTTGTTCACTGTGTAATGTTGTGTTTTTTGTTTTTTTGGTTTTTTTTCTTCTCTTTACAATTAGGGTAAAAGATCTCTTTCCAGACTCAGAAATAGATAGGTATGCACAATTCATAAGTGATTCCCTGAAGAGAACAAAGACGAGGGAGTTTGTGCCCTCCCAGGAGGAAATACAGGCTCTTCTTACCCGTGAGGAAATGACCACGACAGTGTATTGCCATGGTGGTGGCTCCTGCAAAATAACCATCAACTCCCACACCAGCGCTGGGGAGGTAATGCATCAGTAGAATTAACCAGATGTGAGCACATCTGTGTCTGGAGAGTGGGTCTGTTGAAGGGACACCCTTTTCCCCTTTATTTCCTGTTTTTCTCTCTTTTTTTTTTTTTTTTAATGACAACTCTTTTGCTATATCTTTAGGCAAAGTTTAGCTTATTCTACAAGGCCAGTGCCCAGGTTGTAGAGTATCACTTGAAAACTGTGTTGCAAAATCTAAACACTTCTGGTGTTCTGCCCTTTGTCTGAAACTTGCTAAACGCAGGTTTCTGGACAAGGAGAGATTCCAGTTCATAATGGAATCCTTCTGAGAGGGTTATTCCACCAGTAACTTAATCATTAGCAGGTCAGAAGCAGGATTCCAGGTTGCAGTAGTCATGTCTGTGAAAACATGAGTGCTAAACAGAGCAGAAAGTGGAATTGTTACTAGAGGAACTGAGAATGTCACAATGACATCTGAATCCATTATGTGCCTGTATCTTGTGCAGAATTTTAATTCCCCCATCCTCAAAAGGATAGCAAAGATTGAAAAGATTCAGAGAAGAAAAGCAAGGATGATCAAAATAAGTAATGACTTCATTGCAGGAAATGATCTCTTAGGGTTAGAATTCTTTAATCTGAAAACATGGCCATTAAGGGAGAAACGTGATGGAGATGTATGAAATGATAGGTGTTCTGAAGAGGTACTGATTGTTCATTGTGAAAGGGGGAGTGGTGCCTACAGTGTGATGTGTCTGCTTTTGCAGGTGGTTGAAAAGCTGATCCGAGGGTTGGCCATGGAGGACAGCCGGAATATGTTTGCACTCTTTGAACACAACCAGCAGGTTGACCGTGCTGTGGAGAGTCGGGTGATTGTGGCTGATATCTTGGCCAAGTTTGAAAGGTAAAGGAATGTTTCATTAAACCTTTAAGTCCTCGTTGGATGTAACACTGGATTTCAGAATGCAGGGTTACCTTCAGGTTGTGATTTGCACTGTGGACATTCCAGTACCATGGTACTTCTCCTTACTGGTTTTTTCCCTTCTCATTCTCTTTTATGTTTTACAGACTTGCTGGATCTGAAGAAGAAGAGGAGGAAGGACAGTGGCAACTGTATTTTAAGCTTTATTGCTTCTTGGATATTGAGAATGTTCCCAAAGATGGTGTGGAATTTGCCTTCATGTTTGAGCAGGTAAGCAAACTCTGGGAGAATTATTTGGTTTCTAGGGTAGCAAAACCACACAAGAGGATACAGAAAACTGGTTTACCTTTCATTAGTCGTGGGAATTCTGGTTGTAGCAGAAGAACTTAGTGTGTTGGATTTTTGCCTGGAATCTACTAAGCAGATAGACCATGAAGTTTTCTAGGGAAGATGAGTATTAGAACAAAAGCAAGAAAAATTAGCAAAGGCTTAAAAAAAATGAAACACTAATAATGATATTTTTTTTAAACTTGGTCTTTAATTTTTGAAGGCAGAGAAATTTGGGTAATGATTTATGAGAATCATTAGAAGTAGCTGCTTGCTTACAACCTCAGTTGTACCAAACTCCCTCTTGACAAGGCTTTCAGTCTACACAGCTTTAACTGGCAAAGAGAAGTAACAGTAGGAGAGTAGGTGTTACCCAGACATTAGATGGATGTGCAGAAAGCCCCGTTAATAGATTTCGTGGAGACATCAGGTGAAGGAGGAAGAGGTGGGAGGTGCTTTTGTGTAATGAAACTGAGATTGAGAATCTTGAATTTATTATATATTACACTGATGTTGAATATAATCTTCACATGGAGCTGTAGGCAAATTGCACCAAATCTGGTCTCTCCCATCTGTTCCAGACCTAAAAGGTCCTCATTGTAGGACTTTCTGTACAGGATAGGAGCCCCTCAAAGATCTCTGTCCCATTCAGGCTTGAAGAAAGGGGTGTTCTCCCCCCCATATCAACCACTTGCAGACTTTGACATATTTGTTACAATGTCTGCTCTGACCTCCTGAATTATGTTTATCCTACTGGGATCAGCATATGTGACAGGAATCTGTACATGGACCCAGATGGGAATAAAGTGTGCTTTTGCTTTCTAATGAGTTTGGGGGACTTTTTGTTTGTAGGCTCACGAAAGCCTCATAGCTGGTCATTTTCCTGGGCCGGAGGACACTCTGCAGCGTCTGGCAGCTCTGCGGCTGCAGTACCTTCATGGAGATTATTCCAAAATAAGCTGGACCCTTGATGGAATCTACCCAGTTAACAGGCTGAAATCCAAAATACTGCACTCAACAAAGAGCAGCAGCAGCAGTCACACTCTGGAGAGGAGACGGACCAGCTTCCTTGAAGGGACATTGAAGCGTAGCTTCAAGACAGGGTCTGTAAAGAAGCAGAAGGTGGAAGAGGAGCAGATGATGGAGATGTGGGTAAAAGAAGAGCTTTCAGCTGCTCGGGCAAGCATAGCACAAAAATGGACCAAGCTGCAGGGGCTCTCTCAGCATCAGGCCATGGTGAAATACATGTCCATTGTAAAGGAGTGGCCAGGTTATGGGTCAACCCTCTTTGATGTTGAGGTGAGTGATTAATAAACCTCTAAAACCTCAGCTGAGGAGAGGTATCAGTCTGGAGAACAGATAAAGCTGTAACGAAAGGGAATTTTGGGAACTGGATACATATTGCCTTAAAAATTCAGGGAAAGCCTGCAGTAGCACAATACCCAAGAGTTATGACACAGGGAGCACAGAGCAAGCAAGGCAGGGCATCCTGGTAAATGAAGGGAGACAGTGGCTTCCCACTTTGTTAGAATAGTGGTGGAAGGGGGGAGGAGAGAAGGGTTTAAGAAAGCAGTGGCTAGTGAAGGCAAAATAAAACAAAGCTCTGCTGCTCTTGCCAGCAAAAAGTGCAATCCTGGTCTGCAGCAGTACAGCAGAAAATGTGCAGACTGGGGAGTGTACAGCACCGTGCTCAGCCTGCTGCAGTAGGAGGCCACAGTTCCCTTCTGTCAGTTTTGCTGCTGCCGAGGTGGATCACCATGGGAAGTTGCTTGCACTCTCTGCATTATCTGTAAAATAAGAAGTGGAATATTGACTTGCTACATCACTTTAAAATCTGATGAGAGCTGTTCCCTATTACAGTTATTTATTACTCAACTAGTATTTGACTCACAGCTGTGTCACTTCCAAATCTTCGCAGCAGAAGTGCCTCCAGCATAGATTCTGCAAGTACCCTGGTTTGTGTATTGAATTGAAATGTCCTATAAGAGCAGAAACAGAGGGCTTTTTCTTGAATGGAAAATTATTTGATCCTCCACTGCATTTATACAAAAGGTCATGTTTCTCTTTCTGCAGTGCAAGGAGGGTGGATTCCCCAATGATCTCTGGCTTGGCGTCAGCACAGAGAATGTGTCTGTCTACAAACGAGGGGATCCTAAACCATTAGAAACTTTCCAGTATGAGCACATTGTTTTCTTTGGAGCACCACAGCCCAACACCTTCAAAATTACAGTGGATGAGAGAGAAATGTTCTTTGAAACCTCCCAGGTATGTGCAAGCACACAGCCACCTCAGTTAAGCTTCAAGGAATAGAGAGGTTTCTGTGGAAGAACTCTTGACTAATGGACTACACAGCCAAGGGAAAAGATGGATGGAGCTGAAGCCTAAAGGGCATGGTACCTCTTCTTGAATACAGGGATGAACAAAAAAAATAGGCTGGTTGGAAAGCGAAGGAGGTTGATTGGTATTCCAGTGCATCAAGGGTTTTGAGTTCTGGGTGCTTTTCAGTTTGCCTGGGTTTTTTTCATTCCTTTCGAGTAGATGAATGGGGAGTTCCACAAACTTGAAAGATATAGTAGAATGGAAGCTGCTTTTCTTTGAGCTAAAAATATTTTAAAGTGTTGCTACAGCAGCACACAAATTTGTCAAGCCTTTCTCTTCTTACTATCATGTTCACATTTAGTATTAACATGCAAAATTGATTGTGTCATGACTTTGGAGAAGGGGAATCTCTTTCAGCAAAATGTGCTGTACGCCTCAGCGCACTGAGGTTTTCAAAGTGCTTATGCTGTGTTGCTGTGTTCTCTCCCCAGGTGGGCGAGATAATAAAGATCATGAAAGCATACATCAACATGATCGTGAAGAAACGCTGCAGTGTCAAATCAGCCACCAGTGTGGACAGTCATGCAAGCATCTGGACTAGGTGATACAGATGAACTGGCACTAGTTTAGTCATGGGTATTTGCAACTTGCCAGCACAAGTGTAGCAAAGATGTTTTTTAAGAATTCAACTGACTACTGTATTTAAAACCTGAAGTGACATCTACAGTACCATAGGATTTGCACCTCTGCCCAAAGACATTAAACAGTTACAACTGTTGTGAAATACTAATGACCCAAAACTTGTTTTCCCCTTGCTTGTTTGATGAACAATTTATCTTAAAGAAGCAAAGTCAGAAGCATCCTCCTCCTCCATGTCCTCCCTGCTGCTTTCACTATCACCTGTCATACTGGCAGAAAAATTTACAAGGATCATTTCTGCAGGACAGGAGACAGACTTAAGCTTCCTTAAGAATTTTAAACATGCAGACATCTGGGATCATGTGATCACAGCATGGGCTGCTGAAAGAATATTTATTTATTTTGCAAACAAATCTAAAATATAAATCACTGTGGGTTTGTTTTTTTTTTTTCTTCAGGATATGCTAATGATCTGATCTGGTCTTAAAAAGAAAAAGCCTTTGTATAATTGAAGCCAAGTGGTCCAACGGAGAGGTCAAACTTGAGAGAGTATTAAACAAAGAAACAAATAAAAAACACCCAAGGTGGTTGTTTGCCTTCCAATTAAAGTTCACAGGTACACAACTGTGAAAAGTGGCCATTTCAGTTGAACTACTAAATACTCCAGTCTAGGAGAAAACCCCTGGCATTAGCACCACTGAAACAGGCCCTAAGGTCACACTGCAACTGCACCTCTTGCATAAAAAATAACGACTGCTGTTCTCCTGTACAGCCCACAGAGATGGTTTTAGTAGCATTTCCAGAAGAGCTGCTCTTCACAAACTCCAGGTATTAGATGGAGGTTGGAGATTTATGATGAGCAGCTTCCTTGCATTAAGATCCTTCTTTCTTTAGGGGGGATTTTAGGGTGACTCGAGTCCCTAAACTTAGTTTTAAGTGAACTGTTTCCTATTGAGTTAATAGGTGCCTAGATAAATTGTTACAGGCAAGATTTTTACTTCCTCTTTACTGCAGTAAGCAAATGCCAAATCCTTCACCCACCCCAAATTTTAACAAGCTCACATCACTGAATACCCAGATCCCCATCCAGTCTCCTCTAGGTCTTTAGTCCTCGGCAGAACTTGAAAACTATTCTGTTTTGCCAAAACAACTGCTTCTTGGAGGTTTTTATAGCTACTTGCAATTTGAAGAAGCAGAATTTTTTTCTTCTCCATGAAAGACAGTCATCTTCAGTCTCTTGACTTCAGAAAGTTGATTTAATTGTTTAAAAAATATTCAGTATCAGTCCCATCATAAATTAGTTGCATTAGCAAACAAGAAACCTGGTGGTGAGCCATTTTCCATGACCCTTGTCTAGTCTTGGGATCCCATAAAGCAAAGGCCCGTGAAACTACAGGGCCTTCTTCCACATTTAAAATTGGCCGTCTCCATTTCTGTAGCAGCAGCAGCTAAGGCCTGTTAGCTATGAAACAGAAATTGCATAGAAAAGTAGGAGTCAGTAAGGAACAGGTTCCATTCCAATTCATCATCAAATTGTGCCAGTATTACTAATACTGTGTTGCAGAGCACTAGTTTTGAGGGTGACAGTACAAGAAAAAATACTGTACATAACCCCTGCTCCTCTCATTTCCACTGCACTGCAGCATGTGCAAACACACCGTGTACTTGCTACACAATCAGCCAAAGAGGGTGGCCCCTGCTGTGCATCATCCCTTCAACTGGAGTTTTGCCTTAAATAGCGTGACTGATGGAGCCCACAAACACCCCCTTGTAGTCACAAGGAATTAAAAGATGACCAGGTCACAGACGGGAGAGAACAGGAATGCAGAGGCCACCTGGGAAGCCACACTTTGTATACACTGCATACACTGGCTCGATCTCTAATGTATCAGACTAGGCTTGATTATCCATGTCCTAACTCTTCACTAGCTCTGTGTTCTGGCTCTTGGGTTGCTGCAGGCAGCTTGAACCCACTTGAAACATAACTCCCACTACTATTTGTTGTAATTTTGCTCATTTCTATTATAAAATTCCTTCTTCTGTCTTTTTTAATTTGTAACTGGCTTTACAAGATGAAAGTTTAATAAATTATTGGATTGCACAGGCTGTATTCACTTACAGGCATTGTGTGCCCATGTTAAGGGGTTTACTCAGAGTTTAACACTCGAAACATGTGAAAAGCAGGCATCATTGGCAGGAGGATACAACAGCCCTTCCTCCCAGAAGCAAATTATGGGGTCTAATAGAAAATAGAAAATAGAAATAGAAAATAGAAAATAGATAATAGAAAATAGTTTGCTGCTACAGTGGGGGAAGGTTTGTTTCCAACTTCTGCTTTTCTCTCAGGGGCTGGGTCACACCTTTGCTCACTGGGAGATGTCCCACTGGTTCCGAGACAGCCGAGCAAGGAATTAATTGTCTCCTAAGACCCAGTCTGTGGATCAGCTCCATACCTTCTCTTCAGCACCTCCAAAGTCACTAATAACAGAAAGTCACTTCTGGCTCAAATAAGCTGCCAATATGCACTTCCCACACAAGTGCATGGCCTGACCACGGTACTCACCTAAGAACTTGTGTCACTGAAGTAAATTGGGACTGGTAGCAGCTGAGCTCTCAGCAACACAGACAGACGGTACCACTAGCAGACAAAAGTTCCTTCAATCCATACACAGGTATGGAATCCAAGCAGTGATGCATAATCCCCATCATTATGCTCCCCTTTATACCTTGGTCAGATGCTCTGAGAGCCTCAGCACCCTGGAGATCAGTCTGTACAATATCACTTTAACTGTTCACAGATTCTATGTTCTTCATCTTTATCCCCTTGCATAGATTTTCAGGGTCTTTATTTGAGGCTGCAAACGCCTCTGCTTACTACAAGCTAGCCAGTCTCCTTTCTGGGCAGCTGTTGAATTTCAGACTGCACTTGTATCATTAACACATCTCTATAAAGACAACAACCATGCACTGCTGCAGGTCCAGAATGACTACAACAGTACACACAAATGCATTTATTGAGTGGTAGCCATGAATAACAATCTAAAGAGGTGCCCAGCTAAAAGCCTTCTCTGACTCCTTTTTTCAATGTTTGATCACCCTGTCAGGTTGACATGCAGTCCCCTCTGGGACTCCATTCAAGTATTTCTGTAATAATTAGTTCAAGTTTGAATACTCTGTTTATTTTATATGAACTAGTTTCTAGACAATTTATGATCAGCACCTACATCATGACATGGCTTATACACAAAGACACTGCCTCAGGTAAGTTGTTTCACAAAGTCATGTGTCTAGTTATTATTGGTAGTAAACTTGAAACATTTATTTGTACCTGGTTTTAAAACACACAGCCTCTCCCTATGTAGGAAGAGCAATGCCTGTGCATTTGCTTCAAAGTAACATGCTCGCCTTGGGCCTTTAAGCAGATCTCACACAAGAATTCCAGCCTCCTCTGTAAAATATTAACTCCTAAAGAAGTAGGATGCAAATTTGCCAGGCTTTTGGCTACTTTTTTTTGACCAGGATTTCCTAATGCACGGCTGGATACACCTTGGCCCCATTCCCCAGTCAGCAGCAAAGTGAAGGGGATCACCAGGGACAGTCACTTACCCCAGTGCCAGCTCAGCACTGCTCCTGCACGGCTGTGACACCCAGCTGGGAGGAATCCATCGCATGGAGCACCCAGATTCCACAACCCTGCTTAGGTCTGAACACAACACAGAGCAAAGCAGTCAGGTGCTTGGTTCCTGCTTCCTGCTATTATCTGCTGCCCAGCACTGGCTTGGGCAGCCCAGCCAGCTGCAGAACAGAACTCTGGTGTCCAGAGCCCTGCTCCACCTCCTCCCCACACTGCACCCAGGGACACGTCTGGGGCCCCTCACAGCCCTCAGGCACTGGCCCCCAGGCCTTCCCCAAAATTCTGTGAGGGCTCAGGAGTACCAATACAAACATGTTCTTCCTGTGAAAGCAAACACTTAAAAATCCTGAGTGACTATCACAGTGAAAGCCTAAGAAGACAAACTCAGTTGGCTCTGTACTGGGCACAGTTTTTGCAGGGCCACTAACGAAGCACACACATCATTAGGAGCAACTTACCTGTCTTG